CAAAACATAGCAGTAGCAGTAATTCTTGTGAGGCTAATCCCAGCAAACTAATACATTCGAATTACTCTGCCGATGCCCTAAGTATACTCGTAGTTTCATGGACCTGTTAGACCAAGTGGAAGAGACATCTATACATAATTTTTATAACCCACACCATGCCGAGTCCGCCCATGCTACACCCACCGGTCCACATTCTTCCACATAACGTTTTGACCGCAGATGCGTCGCTTTGAGTTCACCTTGCAAAACCACGCGTTGGTTTATTATATACTAGCTTTCCGCCCGCGGCTTCGCCCGCGTGGAATTTTGTCTGTCACAGAAAAACTTTATCGCGCGCGTCCCTGTTTCAAAAACCGGGATAAATACTATCCTATGTTCTTTCCCGGGACTCAAACTATCTCTATGCCAAATTTCATCAAAATCGGTTGCGAGGTTTAAGCGGGAAAGCGTAACAGACAGACAGACAGACAGACAGACAGACAGACAGACAGACAGACAGACAGACAGACAGAGTTACTTTCGCATTTATAATATTAGTTGGGATACGAGGGGCGGCTGAAAAGTTTTGAGCCTAAGTATCTTCAAGTGTTATTATTGACTCGCACTAAATTTCATTAATTTGCCAATAACCTCCTTAGTATATGTACCAAGTTTCATTTCATTAGCGTCATCACGCTTTTAGTAATTAATCCGTAAACATCATCATGTCTCAGTCATCCGCGCAATGTATGAAATTGAAGTACACAGTTGTCATAAAATTCCTCAAAAAGGGGAACAAAACGCTGACGGTAACATTTGAAGAGATGTCTACAGTTTATGGGGAGTCTGGGCCTTCATTTGCCACCTTGAAAGATTGGATCCGATAGTTCAAGCATGGCAGAGAGTCGCTAAAAGATGACCGCAAGTCAGGGCGGCCAGATTTCGCCATTAACGAATAAAATAATGAAAATTTAAAGAATCTTGCTTTAGAGATCAGCGAATTAAGCTGTGACAGATAGCTGAAGCCATAGGCATTAGCAAGGAACATATCAGCGACATTTTTCATACTCATTTGTACATGAAATAGGGGAGCACGCGATGGGTGCCAAAAATGCTCACGCCGCTCGACAACCAGCGTCGAGTCACAACTTCACAGGAGTTTTAGGACATCTTTGGGCATAACCCTAACAAATTTTTTTCTCACATTGTCACTATTGATAAATAATAGATCCGGCAGTACGATTTAGAGTCAAAATAAGAGTCAATGCAATGGATTCAAAAGGGAACACGCCGCCGCGGAAATTCAAAGTGGAGCGATCGACACCTAAGCTCATAGCCACTTTTTTTGGGATTGTGGAGGAATTTTATTCATTGACTACCTATTTAAAAAAACAACAATAAACGGGTATTATTAAGCTGTACTGCTGATAAGAGTGCGTCAAGTGGTTGTTGAAATATTAAGAGGCAAACTGGCGAAAGGAAATCTGTTATTGCAAGACAATTCGCCCGCGCACACCGCGCATGTTGCAGGGCTTGCCCCGGGTAAAACTGGATTTCAAGAAATTAATCACCCACCACACAGTTTAGTCCGAATCCCTAGCTATTTTGTCTAATTCTCAAATTGGAAAAAAGACCTCCAGGAACGAAGATTTTTGAGTGGCAAAGAAATGAAGGCGGCGTTAAAGGCTCATTTCGAAGGCAAAGATTGCGAATTTTTTTTCAGTGGGTTAAAAGCTCTTTTACACAAATGTAAGAAGTCCGTTGTAGTAGAAGGAGACTAAATAGAAAAATATTTTTTTTATACCTTTCTATCGGCATTTTTAATACCCTAGGCTCAAAACTTTTCAGCCGCCCCTCGTATATGGTTTATTATATGGTTTCATGGAGAAATCGGAGCATCGTCATTTGTAATATCTAAAATAAATAAAACAGAACACTCTTAATATGGCATCATGGTTGATGCAGATTACCGAACACCCGTCAAATGAGATTTAATATCTAAATATTATAGGATCAAAACATAGGATCAAAATGGTTTGAAGGATCTGAGAGATATAGAGAACTGTGTTTTTTGTAGTAAAAGAATTTGTGCATTTGTACTCAGCATGATTTCTATTGATAGGTACAGTAAAAATTTAAGACTTGCAATATTTCTTCTAACTACGAATACGAGTCAAAACAAACTGACAGCGATAATGTTCTTTTCATGTTCTGGATTAATGTTTATTGATCTCTTCTAAAACTAATATAAGATTCATACAAACCGTTCCATCTAAATAAAACAATATATATTAGGAGAATCACTGGTCTTAAGGTGATTCACTGGGGACGGGTTATGAATTAATGTAACATGTAACAAAAACAATCGAACGCCCCGTCCAAAGCTTCTCGTATGAGTCAGATGTACAGATGACACATCCGACTACAATATTTCTGTTGCAAACTCGTCTGTATTACAACTGATTAAGACCCCACAATGTTTACCTTGACGTGCAGCCGCCTGTACTTGCGTCATGATTAGTCTGCCGGCCCCGCGCAGGAGTTCAATTCAATCTAAACAGCGTCACATTATGGTCATGCACAGACTATTGACGTTTCGTCAGACCACAATATTGCAAAAAACCGCAATTTTTTGTAAATAAATAGCTCTGAAGAGTAAATTAGTCAATTTCTTAATTTATGTAGAATATTGTAGAGATTCTTTTGTTTTGTCCGCCATGTCTTTATGAGACTTGCGAAGGGCAGTCTTTTTATCCTTTCACTTTAACAGTTTTTCAAAGTGATAAAAATACCTAATGTCGATCGTTTGCGTTAGCCTAAACTAAGCGTCTATATTAAGTCATATACGAGTATAATTGTTAGGAAAGGTACCAGAAGCTACATACGTATGACGACCGCACATCAACATAATAAATTGGGGCTCTATATTATGTAGTTGTTTTAGAAGTAATTTTGCAAAAAATGTAGAGCCATCAGCACAAACCGTGACGATGATTGACCCCATTAAATTTCCTTAGCACAAGGCATAATTATTTTCTGTTTTTATCCTCAAATATGCATGCTTGATCAGAGAATAAGCAATAAAGATTTTTCAGTTATTGAAAAAGACTAGAATTGTATGATCATAAGCAATTTCTTAATGTAGCAGTTTATTACTCCTCTTTTTTCATAATGTTTAATACTTCAATCCATTATTTCTAAACACTTTATTTTAGTGCACAATGAAATTGTAGGTAACTAAATTGTTGTGTTAGAGATAAAAGTAAAGAACAAAAACCGTCCCACCTATATACAGCCACTATTCTAAGAAAATATTATTCCTGATCCTGACCTTCTCTGGTACACGATGGCATATTAACGTAAACACTGGCATCTTATGTGATTGTAATAGAGGTGACTTTACAATAAAAATGCTTTCAACTACAAAGCTAATATCGTTCAGTTTTCCTTGTTTGTTTCTGGATGCGCACAACATTCCCTACAAGGCAAGCGGTCTGAGCCGGCCCGCCCACGGGGAGCTCAGTAGAATAAACAGCTACCACTACGTCTTAGGTTTCAAGCACACCACAAATAACAATCTGGTTTTTGCTGGACTTTATCGATCTATCATCGATTGGTGTTACCTATCGTACGTTGACTGAGGGCAAAAAATAACCAGTTACGATAATGTAGAACGAATGTAGGTACGTAGCGTGGGAACTACCTACCTATCTATCAACCTTTTGGGATCGAAGCATGCAAAAACTATTTTTACCTGAAACATGGTTTAGTAGAAGGTCAGGTATGCCCTGTTTAAGCCACTTTGACCTTTAGCTTTAGTTACGATGTGTCGAAAACTCAAATCAGTCATGTTCGCCCGGAGCCATGTTAATGGGTTTTAGAAAGGGTAATTATAGACCTGCGCTTGTGTTAGAATCCCAGTACATGTTTCTAAAGTTCTGTTAAAAGCATCTAGAATCTAGAATTCTAGATGACTAAGATCTAAATCAGCCACATAATAGTGTAGTATAAGCCTTACTTCAATACCTCGGTCTTGACGCCGTAATGTGGCGCCAACGGGAGACGGTTATTTATAGTAGGTACTCGAGTGTTCTATTATCTACTTTTATCCTCAATAAACCACCATAAAATTATCCACCCACTTTTAACAGCGATTTGTACCACTTGCTACAACAATCATGATTCACCGATACCTTCAAAGATTATCGCGTCATCGATGCGTTTAAGATAACTCGCAAACTCAACTTATAGAGTATTGAAACATTTCCTTATTGAATTTATAAAAGAACTGATTATGAATTTAATTAAAAATTTGCATTGGACATCAAAAATAACCCGCTGCCATTTTTGTTTATTATAAATTCTAATTTCCTGTGTTGCTTTAACGTCGTATAATTTTATACGAGTAAAGAACAATGCCAATGCACGAAGTAACGACTACCTATACAAATCAAACTTTGTACTCTTTACTTTAGTCCCGATGACTTTGATTTTTGTGAGTCATCAGACAGATTTATTTTCAATAATCAAAATAAGTAGGTAACTGTAGATACAGTATTTTGTACCATAGTACCTAAGGCATTGATGCTACAAAGAATTAAGTTTTGCTGAAGTCGTCCTCCTTAACGGCATTTGAAAATGGGCTCATTGAACGGTTTTTGTCTCTTCATCCTTCATTGTATTTGAAGATGTACCAAGTAGCTGATCCATTTTAAACGGTGTCTGTCTCTCTGTATAATATGAATATAGTCTATTTTGAATAGTGTCTCTCTATCATGTGACTTTTGCTAATGCTGCAGTTCGTCCTTTTTAGCTGTAGCCTGTATACGAATATGGTCTATTTGAACAATGTCTGTCTCTCATGTCACAGACTTTTCCTAATGCTGCAGTTCGTCCTTCTTAACTGTATATACAGTATAAATAAGGGCTATTTTAACAATGTCTCTCATGTCGCAGACCTTTTGCTAATGCTGCAGTTCCTCCTTAACTGTATTTTAACAGTGCATGTGTTTCGTTTCCAGGGCCACCGCCACGGCTGGGGCTGAAGGCGGCGAGCCCCGGGGTTGCCGCGGACGAGGACTGCAACAGCAACACCAGCCTCACCGGCAGTCAGCACTCCGCGCACGATGACCTGGATGCGCACTGCGACAACTCCGGCTATCTCTGGTTCCTTGACTATAAGTAAGTTCATCATCATCATCAGTTAGTTAAGCCACTCGTTAAGTTAGTCTGTCTAGTCATAGAAGTAACTGCTGACCAATGGTTCAGACTTTCCTCAACAGATTTTCCGCATCTATTTAGTTTTAGGTAATACCGAGGTTTTCCTAGGAAGAACGTTTCATCGAAAACTATTTTAGCCTAAATAACTTGCACTGACATCTGCCTACAGTTGCTTGCACCACTTACTCTCATTACTAGCCGATTATAATTTTATCCCGAGCTGGTAATACAGAAAGCTGTTGTAGAGCTGTGAAAATAGCCTTTTTTATGTTACAAGGTGTAAGGTCCCTGCAGGACTCCTTTCAGCAGAAAACCTCAGATATTTAAAACATGTGGTCTTCCTAACGACTTCAAATTTTGTAGTATGTTTGATAGATTTGCTTCAACCTTAATAACCCTGGAAGGTTTCTTTTGAATAAATATAATCTACTATATAAAAATAAGTCGGGTTTTCCTCCCTGACGCTATAACGGCTTCCACGGTTTTGCATTCGTTGGAAAGGTCTCGGGCTCCGTGAGGTTTATAGCAAAGAAAATTCGGGAAAAGGGGGTAAAACAGGATCCACGCGTACGAAGTCGCGGGCGGCCGCTAGTAATATATGAATTTTTATGTTATCTAACTTATTTTTTTCTCTCTCTTTTTCAGCCCAATCTTCAGAGACGGCTCGTGTCACCACACCTCAGTCCTTTCCTCCGTGTCAGCATCGTACAAGGGCATAAGCGACCTGGCCTCGCGCTTCGAGTTCACCTCGCGGTACAACGACATCGCGCGGGACCTAGACGCGAACCTTGCGGAGGCCGACATGGAGAGCTTCAAGACCGAAGACATACACGCACTGCTGATGACCGCCAACCTGCCTCACGACGCCATCATTGACGACAGAACGCATGATGTGAGTTGGTCACGTACTCACGTTACACGTAGACCCCGTAAATATGAAAATGAAGTCTTTTTTTCAATTTTGACCAATATTGATACTTACTCTAAAAGGGCTCTTTTCAAGTCTCCTTATCTTTTGGGGCCTACTAGTGCTTCGACAGAAACGTATGGCAAGTTCTAGGATGATGATATTGTGATGCAACAGCATTGTCAAAGGCCTATGCTGTAGGTACTCAAGATTAGGATGTAGTCTAAAACGAAATGCAATCCCAATTCAGCTGAACCGAGATAAAATATAAAGTATACGGAAATGCTTGATGATGATATCAATTATTCAGGGTAGCCGAAGTAATATTAATATGTTAATACAAAACCAAATTATGTCATTAAATAAGTTAACTACATGCAATATATGGATCTTGCAAAATTGGGTCTCACAGATCAAGGATTGATAAATATGCAACTTACAAAATAAATGCAGTCTTATTAGGTAGTATGTTCAAAATTGGATCAGCCTTGTTACAAAAGGACAAGATCTTAATTAATGTTATGTTTTCTTATCGATTATCTTGTACTTATTTATCTGTTTTACACCTTTATTTCCAATCAAGTCCCAAGGGTCGGATTTCATTCGGCGAGGCTGGTAGCCACCGGAGCATCAACTTTCGTTTTGTAATGTAATCAGTTTCATTCCTGTTATGGTGCTGTGAAGTCGTCAATTTCACCGCAGTAGCCATTTCTTCGAATCATAGAACACCATGATCGATAATATCTGATGAAATGTCATTTCTATGAAACGTTTTGTACATATTGAGAAGTGTTGCATTAGCATAAAATTTATCTCAATAATAATAATGAATAAATATGTATGTAATTATTGTTATGATGTTGTTACTCGTCTTAATACTGATTACATTTTGCCTTTGCTATTCTTTGAGTAGGTATACAGATTTAAAGAGTATATTTACCTACTATTTTAAAACTTCCCATCATCAGCAAGGGAATGTAAGAAAAATTAAACTCAATGCGAGATGTCATCTTATTTTGCTTAATTTCACGCTAATGAAATCCAACCTTCACCCGACGCGTTTGACATTCTTGGCTGCCTTTGTAGATCGTTTCATTAAAATATCCCATTTTATTATGGTGTTGGCAACTAACATTATATTTTTTGTATTTGTTTCTTTATTTTTATTGTATGTATGTTTATTTTCAGTTGTTTAGTAATGAGTCGGTGGATGAGGGTCATTTGTGTGGTGTATTGCAGAGTAACCCCCGGGGCGAGATGTTTGCCAGCATCTCAAGCTCGCTCATGGAAAGATTTCGGTTCGACAGCAGTATCAGTGTCGACAGTAGCTTTCAGGTTCGCCAGAAGCTGTTAAATGTTTCATTTCATAAACAAAACACTCATTAGATCACCGCTGCAGCTATCGGCACGTTCAGTTCAAACGCTATAGATACACAATACGCTGATAAATAAGGCCCAATTTTCTTTATTGGATTACATAAAATAGAAATTCGCTATGATTATTGCGGGTGTAATAGCATGGGTATACTCTATTAGCGCCATCTAGTCTGTAGCCGTTATAACTTCTAAAGTGCTTACGATAGATCACGCCAGATGTCGCTACTTACAAACCCGCCTAGCTATCCAACAAAAATCTTTTCTTGAGTTTTACAGACATTTGAAAATACGAGATATTTTAATTGAAACAAAAACAAACTATTATTTTTATGCTTGATATTTATAAACATTTAATAAAAAACTTAATTAGTTACTCGAGTTGTAAAATTAGTACCTAATTAGGTACTTTGATAATGAGGTGAAAGCCATCTTTAATGATATTGGTGAAAATATACTCAAATGAAATGTGCCTACATAAGTATAACTAAAGTATCTAAGTAAAAAAGGTTGCATTTTGAAACTCTAAGAGCAGTTATATAACGTGTTCAACAAAGAATATTCTCGTACTTAAATGATTTTGATTTGTACGCCAATGGCCGTCACGTTACCTCAATTAACTGTTATTCAGTCTCATGAGGACCCAACCCCACACATGCACATCACATAGAAAGCAGGGCGCCTGGCTCGCATTCACAACTACGCTTCCTACATCGAAAGACCAAGTACTTTGCTCCCACGGGATGTACCAATAGTAAAGATAAAATAGGACCATTTTCAATGTGTGCGTTCGTCCACACTGAATTGCGTCAATCAGTTTCAATATGCTCGTTATTCCCCCGGCCATACAGTCATTCCCTCCTCTCAGCATGCCCTTGTGTGCGTGCGCTATATTTAATTAACCGTATGTGAGGCCGCGCACATATTGCCACCATGTGTGCGTTACAGAGTTACCAATGAAGTCTATCCTGCCGGTCATAAATTCTCAAACTGCGAACACGCTAATCGAAAATTCTGGGGCGTCAATTTCTCAATGTACAAGGGCCTGCAAATAAATTTATAAATGCACAACGCCTCGCCCAACCTTGGCGGTATTAGTACACTCATCATTAATTATTCCCTCATCAGTTTTAATGCTAATTGGCGAAACATTCAAAGCACCTTTATGACTAAACTGTAGTACCGGCGTACTGCGCTTTGATAACAGTCGTGGTGTAGACTCCTTACGGGTAGGTTGACGTAGTGTGAGAATTGCGATTTATTGTATAGTTTGAGGATAGCATGCAGTGGCTAATATTAAAATTAATACGCCCGCTGCCCCAGTCGCGTCCAGGGCTCGCGGGAGTGCTGTGCAGTGTAAACTCTTGCGATGCGTTCAATCACGTGTTCCTTTTCCAGTAAAAGTGACCATTCCACGGACCTAATCGATAGTTGTGTGTGCGTTAGATAACAATTGTGGACCCTACGGTTACAATATTGAATCACTACCAGTGAAATGGCGCGATGCCACAGTGCGGGACGAGCTGGTGATTGATTTAGTGGTTCTAGGAGACAGTGAAAATAAACTGAAAGAATTAAAAATGGGTGTGACCGAGTACGATTGGGACTCTTATAATGGATATTACTCAGTGAGTCACGCGAGTACATATACCATTAATCCTTGAGTTGACGTTGTTATTGCAGGGTGCTACGTCTGATAAAGTTATCAATAATATTATTATGACCATCGGCTTGAAACGTTTATTCATCTTAAGCACGCACATGCCACTCATGTTTGAAATTTTTATCAACGGGTTTCAATAAAACTCTGCAATTACACTTTACATTCTCAATTTTATAATTTATCTACCATAATATTTCGTTTCTTCGTATTTTCTTATCTCATTGTAATTAGGTACATTATTTCCTTTGAACTAACACCATTATGATTAATACTGTTTATTTATGTATCAAATCATTACTTGTTTTACTTTCATTATTGTTTTGCTTATCTACCCTCAATTTGATTATTACCTAGTTGGCTATTTGGCTAATATCTGTCCAAATTCTTCTAACTAAAACCAATAAAAGTATGACACAACAATAAGTACGCAAGTTCATTCTGATGAGTAGTATTTGTGACCTCATTCATAACAGGAAAAGGAATTTAATGATAGATCGCCCGGTGCTTTGTCCTGCTGGAAGGCTCTTCTGGAAGGACTGGTCTTTTGTTCTAAACGTCCTGCCAGAAGATTATCGCAAGTCCTGCCCGCAGTACGCAATTTGTACGTGTTTGCTTGCTGGTCCTTCCAGCAGTACGGTGACCTTCAAATTTGAACTCATCCTCACCAGAAGTAGTAAACACTTGGTTAGTGTTTATTAAATAAAAAGTCATGTCGTAGAATCATTTTGTTTAACCAGTATTTTACTTTTCTTAATATATTATAAACTTGTTTATCTTCTTTCAACTTAACTAATAGGAACTATAATAAGGAACTTTAAATTAATTACTTTGGTACGTCACTTTGTATTAGAAATTACACCTATCACTTACAAATACACTACAAATTAAAAACAAAAACAAGAAATAAATTATAAATGTTTGATTAGGCTGGAATACTTCACATTCATTATAATATTATCGCCAAAATGTTGCCGACTCCACGCCCGGCGCGTCAAAATGTGTCGCGCGAGCGCGAACGCGCTGCCCCCGTGTATACTCGTGCGCCATCGGGCTCCGACTAACGGTTAGTCGCGTTTTTCGATCTTGGGCACTATTGGGTGAAAGAGAGAGAAACACTCTATTTTTTCGTGTAAATTTGAAATTTGTACAATGTATACTTACGAAACTGTGATCTTTTAATTTTGCGTCCTACCGGAAGTACTTTAAGTCCTGCTGGCAGGACTCCGGGCGATCTATCATTAAATGATAACGTAGCTGCTCCGCGTCCGCCATATTGTAAATTATAAAATGGGAATGGGCTCTTCTTTGTTGCTTTCAATTCAATTTTTTGTGCTACTGGTCTATTGTATGTTGTAGTAAAATGCCGAAAACCCTAATCAATAAGCACAAGCGATAAGAGTATTGGGAACTTTTTTATCGATACTGGGATAGCCCAGTTAGATTAGTTGTGTACCTCGCCTAGTTTATTCATGCTTAGTTGCAAGCAGCGGTGCAGTTCCTTAAATTAGACGCGCCATACATCCGCGTCCAGAATTATAACTAAACGTAAATGTTTATACCCAGTGCATGTGTTTCGAAATGTTCTAAGAACGATATAGAAAACGTGCTGCTTCTTACTTTTTGGGCCACTATTTGAATGAGTTAACGTTTTATGTTCAAATTTGTCATGGTTATAAGCAAAAGCGTAACCAGTTGCGCCTAGGATGTGTTTAAGAGAATGGTGCATTGTTCGAGCTTCAACGTCCGTTTTGTGTCTGTAGGGTGAAGAATCTGTCGGTTCGATCAACACGATGTCGATATGCAAGTCGGAGTTGTTGTTCTCTCCGGTGAAGGAGGGGGCACACGGCGTTCACTTCAGTGTGGACAGTCTAGACTGCGAGCTGCCCACGGAGCAGGACCTCATCCTCACCTGCCAGGCCAACAAAGATAACTACACCATCGCCTTCGAGGGCAGCCTCACCACATACTCCGAGGATAGTGAGTGCGTTGAACTAGCCGTCAATCACAAACATGGTAAGTCACCGGCTTCAATAAACAGATTATTATCATGCTACACCGCATAATTAAAGGTGTTACTCATAATCGTGACATTGCTTCCTTTTGAACGAAAATCTATTTAAAAGTTGCAACTTCTAAGGATCTAACTGTTAAGAATTTTATCGCAAAAGCGTAAAGTAAACATCTTTGTTTTCGCCAAGATTATGACTATGTTGACTTAACTTACGAAGATGATTCAGTTTTTCAATTACTCATGATAAGCTCACTACATTCTTGTTAATCATCTATTTCAGACAAATTGGGTAAAGAAAATGTGAACGTAGTATTAGATAATGATGAAAGAACGCGCAGGAACTTAGAGTTATTAGAAAGATGTAAAAAATTAACAAATAAATTAACAACCTCTATGGCTAGAAGCGATTTAGGATTAACTACTTGGAGTAAGCTTAAGAAACAGAGTAGTCAGTCACCCTTAAGGAGGTAAGAATAATTTTACGATGTTATTTTGTTGATTTATTCGCAATTTATTGTATTTACATTATAAGGACATCATTATTAATTATTGATCATTTTAGACATCCATCTGGAAATAATAATGATGACGATACAAATGAAACGACTGATGTAATGAATGAAATGAACAACTCAGTAATAAAAAGCCAAAGTTTGCCAAATCTCTACAGACGAAAACTCATGAGTAGCTCCATAAACTCGAATGTCCTCAGTACCTCTACGGTAAGCAAAATAAGTTATTTGATTTTAAATAATATTTTACGTCTAAACAATAATTATTACAAAAACTTTTTTTTATAGGTCGACTCATTCTTAGCCAACCAAAGACTAACAGGCACTCCAACTTGCATGAAAGTGTATGATGTATCACAAAATCGTTCATCTCATGGAAGCCAACATTCGGAGCCAATGAGTACTTCGTCAACTGAAAATCAATCTTCATCAGACAAAAGTCATCCAAAACAACAATTTAGTCTAGTTAAGCTATTTATGAAACAAAAAAGCATGAGCAACGATGGGATCGTTAGCATGGATCAATTAGACCGGTCGGAATGCTGGCCATCTAGTTCGGGCGGTGAGAGTGGAGATTCTATTGGAGAGCAAAAGTCGAGTGAGTCTAAACCGGTAGAGCGGCCCCAAGTAGAATTACCTGCTACTATTGATGATAATTCAACAATTTACGAAGATTTGCCAGGAAATATACCTTACAACAATAGGGTGTATGATGAAGTTTTAATTGAAGAAGAAGAAACTAATGACGGCGCAAAACTTAGTGATAGCGAATCCAACTTGTACGCTACTGTTAATAAACCTCACATCAAAAGAACAAACTTAAATATAATGAATAGCCCGTCAAAAATGAGAAACGCTAGAAAATCTTATTCTTCTCAATCCTCTGCAACAAGTGTGAGCATTTCGAGTTGTTCTGAGTCAGATGGTACACAAATCACAAGGATGAATAAATTACTACAACGTGAACCTTGTGACCATAAATCAACTTCCACTCACATCGAAGTCGATACAATAGATAAGAGTATGCAAACATCCAGCCTACATCTCTCAAGCATGTCTCGTGAACATGAACTTATCAAAGTTGTTGAACCATCTTTCTTGGAGAAATTGAAAGAAGGCGATTGTGAAAAGCCAGTTTTTGTTTTATACCCAAATTACACCTTGCCAGACATTAGTTTCTTGAACGGCAGACCAAATATTTATTTGAACCCTATAAAAGTCAATGTATCAGCCAAGTCAAGTGAAAATAAAAGAAACAGGATGCAAGTCAAAGGGAAGCGGCCATTTTCATGCAACGACGTAGAGATGCTGAAAAAGAAAGGAGTAGGTCACATCAAAGACTGGGATTCGCTTAACTTCCTTCTGCCCGTAGAATGCAAACAACTTCTTTCTGAACTACCAGAATTGATGCATAATACGAAATGTGCAGAAAAATACTGTAATACACCTAAGTCAAAGAACAGACCTATGAGCTGTGATTGTAACAACTTAGCAGGCAACACTAATGCTGTATCGTCAAGCTCAAGTACCGCAACCCAACCGTCTTCTGGTTATCGTGGATCATCGACGATGCTTACTGATTCTTCTGCTCAAAACAGCCCCGCTCCAGCTGGTACTTTCAATCCTTTGTTTGTGTACCGTTATGACAGCGCTACTAGCTCAGAGGCAAGCGCTGTCAACAATGAAGGCCAGAGAGGTAATCCATCTATTCCCAAACGCTCACTTTCCTTAGCTGATCAAAATAGAATCGCTAAGCAAGGTGAACTAGCCCCACCAAGACCACCATTGCCGAAGAGTATTTTGCGTAAGTCTATGGACAAAACACGAAAATCCAGCTCCCACACAAAACGTTATAGTATGTTTGAAATGGACGAATATAATATGCAAGATCCTGTAGTGTGCATGACAGCTGCCACCGAACATAAAACTAAGAGGAGATCACTACAAGAGCCATATTATTTACAAAATCAAGGCATGGATTACAGAAAAAATAATGATTTAGCAGCTAAAAGGCTATCACAACAATTCCTTGACGCTGCTGATAAAGATGCTGACTACAATGAATATTATCAAGATGAGGGTGTTGGTACAGAAAGTAGTCTAGAATCAGGAAAATCAAATGAACTTAAGTTCCACAGGCCACATACGCCACCATTGCCAAAACCAAGAACTAAGAAAATGGAGTACACCGAATTTCCACCTCCAGGTGCACTCATAAGTAGTGCAGATTTGCAACAATTGGAAGAATTTCTTAAACTTAGCGGGGTCAATTGCCAAAATATGGATGAATGGGATCAAAATCAAGTGCAAAAGGTAAGGAGTCAGGTATCAAAATTCCTTCAAATGAAAAGATCTCAGGAAGAGAATCAGAGGTCCACAGAATCAAACGCTAGTAGTTGTAATAGCAAGAAATCTGTGAGCTTTGCGCAGAAATCTGAGGGCAAGCCTGAAAGTCAACAAACGCAACTGAAGGCTGTGGACGAGTTGAAAGTGGACCCTCTTACGACTCCACCTAACTCACCCAATATTTCAGCAGTGATTGCGCAAAGACACTATCAGGTAAAATTAGTTCTGTTTTGTCTACATTGCTCACGCCTCATTGCCTATTGATTTCTGTGAGTACCTTTGGTTCTGAGTTTCCTAAGTTATTTTTATTTTATTTTTACATTGATTTGTGTTTTTTTTTTGTTTTAAGCACGCCTTTTAATTTTTTTTAGTCCTGTAATTAGCAAGCCTTTCGCGTTTGCTGACCACAATTATTATTTACTCATGGTTCATTTATCTGTTTACCTGTTGTAACCTGTAATGCTACTGTTATAAAACTTGTTTTTATTACATATATTATTTAAATTATTATAGGGTAAGAACTTGGCTGAGATACCAATATGTGAGGAAGCTGAAGTAAGCCCGGATGAATTTATGAGCCCTATCCATCATGATGGAAGGGGGAAATATGACCCTATCGACGTGTCACAAAAAAGAGGTAAAAACAATTTAATCCACATGATTTAGAGCAATAATCTTATTGAGTATTGAATGTATTTAATGAAATTTGATTATAATTGTATTTTTTTGTTTTAGCCTTGGTCTCAAATGTGACAGATGCTGTTGAGATGCTAATCCAACATTTCTCTTCCGCAACTGACCAGGCGGAATTAGCGTTCTTAGGCGACTCAAAACAGTCTCCAGCGTGCGCTAAAATAGCATTGAATGCATTATGTCCAGCTCTGTATGCAATATTTAGAGATGGACTCAAAGAGAATATTGAAACATCATTTGGAGCTGTAAACAACTCGGTTTGGCAAATGGTGGAGGCTACAGCGAGACAAGGTAAAACTTTTAATATACGCTTATCTCATTTTAAGACTTATCTCACTAAGAACCTAGTACAAACAATACATCTTTATTTTAGGTCCAATAACGAAGTCTTTGAACGAGCTGGTTCTAAGGATTAACAGTGAAGATGCCGTAAATGAGGGTCTCGTTAAATTTAACGCATTTATCTTGGGCCTCCTGAAGTAAGTAAACTTAATATTTGACAATATTGTTCTTAAATACTGTTATTTTGATCATTTTATCATACTTACTTTTTTCGATGCAGTGCACAGTCAGTGGACGCGTGGGTATCATACGTACGGACCAGAGAATCGATTCTTGCCAAGCACTATGATTCCGATTCCTTGATTCTTGCCGGCTGCATCGGAGACTCTAGATGTCGGGCGCTCTTAGACACTCTCCTCACTAGCTTGGAGCCCCTCAAACTGCTACCCTTCTCTCTGGACCTTATGTTTGAAATGCGTGAACTACACCGCAGCTTCAAGAGGATAGAAAGTGACATGCGTGCTGCTAGTCGGGTAAGTTTCAATAGTTATCATTATCATAATGTATCTTGTAAAATAACCTAAACATTTAACCAATATTATTCAGACTCGATATTTTCTATATCGGGTAAGTAATAATAGCGTGTCGTTAGGGTATAAAGACCACCTTATACATACTGAACTCCCGCCTACTCGAGCAGACATCGCTTTATTTGCATTTTATTGTTTACTGCATGTGCTTACGAATCACGACTCACGGCGCGCTCGTCTACGCGGATTATTTTAGCATTTACTTTCGTGCACAGCTTTCATAAAATGCAAATAAAGGCATGGTCTCACAATCGATATCGGTCTGACCTTGTCAAAACTTTCCTAACTAATAACAAACGGCATGATGCATGATGCTAAAACAACTTTGATGTATTTAACAGCCCACTTCGATTAACACTCCACCACTAACACTGAACCAACGGAATTTGTTGAAACTGGTGCGGTCTATGCAATCGAGCGGCCTCTCGAGCGATGATTGTCAGACTAGTGTCATTATGAGGCATAAAGAGCCGAAAAATAAAGAACCATCAACCCCTGATCTGCTTAATGATTCGGCGAATGTTAAAACGACGCTAGAGAAAACCAGACCGCGGTCATGTGTCAACCCTTCTGCGATTGGCTACGACATGTGTCCGAACAATAGCCGGATTGAAATGGAGACAAACCGCAGATGGTCAGGTGTCCAGTTAGGCTCGAAGCTGATGCAGGCGTTCGATCGGCTCGTTTTCGATGACAGTGACGATTACACCGATAGCTTAGAGAACAATAAGCCTAGTAAACCAAATAACGAGACGAAGGTAACTTGGTGGAGCCTTGTGTTGTTTTCGGTGTGCTTCATTTGGTAGCCCGTTGTGATTCTGTTCATCCTGGTCATTTGCAGCCCACTTTTATTTGGCACCGCCTGCTTTCGGCTTATAACAATTATTTGCAGTGTCACGTTTATGCTTTTTCCACGTGTTTCGTTTGCTCATTGTGTCAGCAGTATTTAAGATCCCTTGTCATGTGACTTTACTATCTGTTATTTTGAAAATATTATCACTAGAATTTATTCCTCCACTTACATTTTCTAAATTCGGTAGTTAAAATTGTTTTTCAAGTTCATCTCTTCCTGCACACCCTATAAATACAAACTGTGCATTATAGTTGGACACGAGTGGCGAGGAGCAGTTCAGGCCAAGCTCGGCGGGTAGCTGCGCCAGCGGCAACACTGGCAACGGCAGCAACAACTCTGGCGGCAAGTTCCGTCGGCTGCAGCTCAAGTGGGAGCTGCTGAGTAACGCGGAGAGCCCGAGTACACCATCAGGTAAATAAACGATGTTCTATAAAGATCCCCTCAGAAATAGGTCACTCAATTTTCTTTTTCCAAAGCTGTCGAAAAAACATTTTAACATCAACACAACGCATTTCCATCGAAAAATATGGTTATGAATATCCGTTTACTTAAAAGTGGGTTTTTCATCGACAAAATATTTTTAGATCGCCATTTACAACATCTGATATAAACATAAACAAGCAACATCAGATTTTATGCAAACATTTTTTGTCAGGGAAGCAACTGATGAGTGGTATTTTCTGAGATATTGTTTATTGCTCTTTTGCTCATGACCTCCAAAATTGTAATTATGTACTCGTACTTGCGAATTCACACCAGATGAACTTGATAAGCTTGTATATGTGATTATATGGAATTTATTCAATTGCTTCCAGGTGAAACTTCACCAGCTGCGGCTCGAGGCTCCAAGATACCTCGGCCCGTGTCCTCTCCCGTGCGACCTCAAGCACCGACTCTGCAGTCACCAGCAAAGGCCCAGCATCGGTCAGTATACTCTAATTTTGATAGACTTTTATAATTTGCAATTCATTGCGACGTCATTTCTAAATTGTTATATTTTCCTTAACTTTATACTGTTTGGTTTAAACAATTGAAGACTGACTGAAGAACAGAATCCTATTTTTTTTTTTGTAAATTTTAAACAAATTGGTCCATTTTTACCAATATTGTTGTTTCAATTCAATTTGTGTGCAATTAAACTCAGTCATACGATCCTATTTCATACAGGCATCCAAATATAAATGATTGCGTCAACCGCAATAAATGACGCATTTGTATTGTTGTAATTAGGTTACTTGATAAAACCTCATCAAACGATCCAACTATAATAATTACAGCGGTATACCAGTGCCGGTTCGGAAAGGCACGTCGCCTACCACGACGACGCCTCGGTCTGCTTCGGCCAGACCTGGCGTCACCGGCAAGAAACCACCGCAACCTGCTAACAGGTATTTTGAATCTATGTCATACTAGTATAAAATGGGAAAGGAGAAAATTCTTGAACTTAAGAAAGTAAATCAATTTTCACTTGTTTACATTAGTCCTAATGTCACGCACTGCTATCATATTTTGGTGATGGTTCTTCTGTTTCTAATAAGCAGTAGACACTTTCTTATTGGTGTTAGATTATTATGTAGGTACCTACTTCATATTTTATCAGCTTATTTTTCCTTATTATGTATTATTTAACAATTTAGTAAAACTTATTAATGCAGTTATAATGTTTTTAAATATAGTTCTTTTTCTTTTGATTTATAGGTTTCATTTACAATTTTATTGTATAAAATCATATAAAAATTAATTTAGTAGGGCTACATTAATTTGTTAAAACTATGTGTGATATCTTCAGAACACCCGAAATGCCCGTGAAGAAAGCCAAAGTAAACCAACCGCGACTGTCCAATGACGCTGTCGCTAAACCCACAACATATGCTAAGAAATCGTCGTATGTAAAATTAATGGAAATCTAACACACTAATTGTGGTTATGCTGTCGAAAATTAAAAAAACCTTAACAGCATGTCTCACAAAATCGCATGAGGCGTTTTGTTACTATCGACATAGAAACTGTTTATTACCATCAAAACAAGCTCAACCTTTTAATTGGTTAACAATCTTTAATTGTATGTTTTACTAATCAATCTTTCCGCATGAATGAACAATGAATGGAACTAATGATCGCATCCTGGGATGTTTGAGTGCATTGACTTCTGAATAGGGATGTTTCCTGGGTCAAAAAGCAAGAGTTTTAATTAGTCCGTCAGTTAACTTATCAAAAAATAGTCTACACGTATTTTTCACTTTTTCAAACTAATGAAAATTTAAAGAGATAAAGCGCGCCAAAGTTCATAAGAAGAGGCCCGTGACGTCAATGCTTGCATAAAAGTGCCGCACGTGGTGACGTCGTGCGGAACTTCAACGCACCATAACTATGTAATTATTTGTTAGATTGACAAATAAAAATATAAGTGTCCAATATTTTTTGATATTAAACATGACGGACTAAAAAAAATATTTTAGGAAACTAGCCTATTCTTTTAGTTTTGTTGTTTCTAACGTATAATATAATGGTAGGACGTCTAGAGTAGACCAGACGTGGCAGGCGGGCGCGGCGCCGCGGCCATCTTCTCTCCCCTACGGCAGGGCGCCGCCCCCAGCGGCCCCGCGCCGCGCCGCCTCTTCCTCAGCATCACGACCTCATCACACCACCAATCAGCAGAAGCATAAGTAAGCCACTTTATTGAAAATATTTAAAAAAAAGTACCTATAAAGTCGTCCAATGGTTTTTGGATTGTTCTAATTTTTAAAGGTGTATACAATTTTTCCTCTAGAAGTAAGAATTACGTTATTCCAGGTGTAAGCTATGATGCCTTTTGGAACGTAATGTGCCCCAAAATATGCAGGGTATTTTTCAAGAGTGTGTAGTACTACACCAAAAACTGCTGAAAGCATATCCTCTGTTTTTGAAAAAATGTCCACAATAGTAATTGAACCTAGTTATTTTGAAATAAGAAAAGATAATACATTTTTGGTGCTTTTACGACTGACTTTCTTTTAATTTTCAGGTATGTTAGAACACTATGGCATCGGTTGCCGTCTGATTCGGGACACCTTGCATTTAATGAAGGAGAGCGTCTTCGCCTGATACTCGAGGTAGATGATCAGTATCTATTGTGCTGCAGAGGAGACCAGAAGGGTCTAGTTCCTCGCGATGCCGTATTGTTAGAGGACTTCTGATATTGGCAGCCATAGCATGATTGGCAATGGCAGCCTTGCTGGCGCCCGTTGCGTTTGAACGGCTACTTTGGGAAGAAGTAAATGAAATCATAAAAGAACCTCCTCGTTTACTTTTTGATCATCAAAATAATATCCGCAGTGTTGAATCCTTTCATAATATGAGAAGCTGAGTGATATTACAGTTATTACTTACTTCTAGATAAAAAGTAAACTGGGAGGGCTATACGTTCGAGAATAGTGCGATGTTACCTGGAACATTTGGTTTGTGTTTGATTTGTGACTGTGAATTGGCTGATTTGGAAGGTATACAAGTGAAATGTGATCGGAACTCTGCCGTTCAAGAACTATGTAAATACAGTTACTATTTTATTATCGAGTCCTTTCGTCTTTAAGATTTATTCTGTCTTATTATTTAAATCGTTTGTTTTTGTTGTTACCTTGAAATCATTATTCATTATCTCTACTTCATCATTATATCTTAATCACTTAATATCGAACTCTCACGTTTCTGATTCAGTAGTAGTAAAATCTAGTCTTATGTTTTAAGGCACGACAAGGTCTTGGACTGTAAATAAAATATTATTGTAAGAACATTAATCATGGAATATTTACTGTGAGGGAACCAACGTTTTATCAACAGTAAATGTTTTCTCTGTGGGATGTGATATAGGTAAATTATTTACGTTTTACTTTAAGGACAAATCTCATACTTTTAAGGTCAAACTCTTTTGTATGGTATCTAAATTCATAATCAAAATATCATTGTTGCTGAGAGAAAGGCACCAGGTAATTCGGTGTTTAGGTAAATTTCGTAACTTCAATGTGAAATTGATGTCTAATGTTACCCTTGTAATGTAAAAATAATTAAATATGCATAAAAGTGAGAAATGCATGTGTATTATAGTATATTGCAAAATTAACTTTGCTTCGTTGAATAGAAATGGTTAAATATCATACTTTAATGTAGTAAGGGTATCTACCAGCCAGATTTATGAACATACCTACGTTTAATCAGGAATCCACGGATTGCACTTTACTAATATGTTTAGTTAGTAACAGCATGCAGCCTCTCCTCATCACCTTCCTTTCGTGGTCTGTGGTTCTCTTTGGTTCCATAACTGCCATAACTGGTGTAGCTTTTAACAGGTGTACTTTACTAACTGCACGGCCTTTACCATGAATCCTTTCCTCACAGCTGGCCTCCAGTTGTCACAATATTGCAGATTAAAATTGGTGTTGGAGCTTAACATTGGTCACCACTAATCGCATCTGCCTCTCCTCTGTACTCCCTTAACCTACAACTTCAACGCTAATTACAGTAACTACAGCCGAGTGGTTGGAAGCAGTAATATTGGTACGCCTTACCGCATTATCGTTAACAAATACCCACCCATTGCTGAATTAACTGGACTCACGAATATTGTGATACAATAATCATATCACTGCTTGAAAGCGGGTCGCAAAGAAAAATGATATTTTTGGTACGAATTTGTATTGCTCAATATGGGAAGACATCATGATATGATCAATTGATATTCGCGACTTAATACTCATGTAATCTTCATAATATTGTAATCGTGGACTTATGTCAGTATTTATCGATGTAAAGTATTTGTATATAATATGTTATTATGGTTAGTAGTGAAATTAGAGATCAAAATTTGTAACAAAACTTTGAAATGCACGATACAGTTCCTCTCGTAGTCAGTCGTGCTAACGAGTCACTTTGGTGAAGTAGTCGGTATAAACGTATACTCGTACTTCTAGTGATCAAAATTATTAATCGCGTAATGCGGTGCCTTTCTCGATGCGTGTGATAATATCGATTATTTAAATATCGATGCTCTTGCCGACTGCGTTCAGCAATCAAAGAAACAAGAGGCTCGTCATGATAATCTCATTCTTAATAAGATGAACGTAAGTTGACACAAATTTAGGACTGTACAATAGATACATAATTCATCATACAATAATTAGGATGTTATTCGAAAACATAGCGAAAATGTTACTAGCTGTCATTACCTGCGTATTATTAATGCAATTTTCGTTTGTAATATACTTACCTAGGCGTCTCATTACCCATCTTAGTATATTAGCGCTTCGTGACTGAATGATGTGATGTGGCCTTTTGTATGTATTAAAGTTATATTAGTGTTACTGTGTTGTGCGTGTGCGCTTGTTGCATCAGTCGGAGTAATCATTGTATCGTCTACTTAAGTAAAGTAGCATCTGCGTATGCTTCCACGGATAAATTTATGTAATTTATAGTAATCGAAACCCTAATGGCCGTTAAAGTATTAGTTGAATGAACAAGCAAGAACGGAGAATGCGTGCTTCGCTTCCACGTACCGCTTGCAGTTCGCGTGCGCGTTAGGCGTTTGTAGACGTAAGTTTTTATCAACAGTTTGTATTATCGAATGTTGAACAGGTTTTTTATAAAATGACATTAACTCCTGCGCGTTCGTTTCATTACATTGTTGGGTAGGATGTGGTGAGTAATGTCCTCATCGGTACAAGTGTTAAGTTATTTTACGATTATTGTGTGTAAGGCTTTATTTATAATTTCGATCGGGATCAATATAAGTTGAACTTTGAGTTAAAATCTTTATTTTCTTAAGAAAAAAAAAATAAAAACAAAAAAGAGGCTTTTCGTTAACTGCGAAACGCCAACGAACGACTGAGAAATTAATTCCGAATACTGTACTAATTAAGTTTACCTCGAAAATAAAAATACCATGATTATTATATTTCGACATTTTGTCATTCAGTGTATGTATTTGTTTAAAGATATTTTATTTATGTTAAGTGCCATAATTTAATGAATTAACAATTGATAAAATATTATTGTAATGCATAACCATGTACACCAATTAAAAATATGTAAAACAAATTGTTGTTTCCTTTCCACCAATTTTTATGTTTAGTTTTTTTTTCCTTTAAATTAAATAAAACAAACCTATAGGTTAAAGAGGATATTAATAAATAACAAACACTAATTTTACTGACACTTTATTTATTAATCAAACGTATTTAATTTCTACATGAATTCTACACTAATAACTATAAGCCACATTGACTTGCATAGACACTCTTTTTTACTACTTATACTTAATAAAATCTATTTTTTTTAAATACATTTTATCTTTTTTTTAATATTTAACATTTATTAAAATCATGTCAATCTACAGACAGCGCTTCTAATAAAAACAACGTAAGGTACATATTATTAATACTGCAAATTAATATTGATAAAAATTGTCAATCGTAGACAAACTAGGTCTCACCTAGGTAACCAGAATGTAGACTGAGGGTTTTCTAAAAATACAATAAGTGAAAAAAAATTATATCAATTAATTTTCTGGGTAGGTGTCACATTTCAAATCTCTATGATTGTATTAGCAGTAGTGTATGTGACTGTGAAACATCAATGTGTAAAAAACGTCCGTGATTTAGTGACGTGGGCCAGCGGTTCAAGCAAACATTGCAGCACATTAAGTAAGTTTCATTTCATGTAAGACTTGTTTAGCCACATAAATTGATAAATATACATCAAAATCTAAGTGAACCAGCTGCAAATCCAAGTGCTACTAGGTAACTGAGTGATGTGGACCCATATCGTTACATAATTTTATAATTAAGTAGGTATACCTATCTCTGCTACTAACATTGACAATAATTGAGATAGAGAAGAAAGCACTTACAATAATTAATAACACCATTCAACTGTAAACATAACAACTGCGTAAAATTCACAGCAAAGCAGGTGGAACGCGAATTTTCCCCATATTTCCCCTTGTAAATTTTAGATCATGAAAAAGCATCTATATTACTAAATTACTATCACTCACATTGACTTTAGCATTAAAAGTTATAAAGTTGAACTAGGTAGACAGTTACATCAAAAACTTGAAGTTGAAACGCAGTGACGTCGATTCGCTGGCACCATCAATGTGCGATAGCTCTCGCGATGCCCGATGTTCCATTAAAAAGGTTCCAAATATTATCATTGCCAATTTTACATTAGCTCTGAACAATAAAGTACACCTTCATTCATCAATAAATAGAAAGTGTCATTGAAGGCGGAACGCGCTGGTTTCAACAACACGAGCTCTTTTTGTTGCTCCAATGAAGAGATTAAATGCTTTTCTACCACTAACACCGACATTAGCATTAAATATAGACTTATCAATTACATCAATAAATAGAAAACGCCGGGCGCTGCGTGAGCGAAGTGCGTCTTGAGCAAGCGGAGCGTGGTGGGTCCCGGGCGCTCGCTGGTCGTGCCATAGATGAACGGCGGTTTCTCTCGTTGTTCCTTCGCACTATGTTGTCTTCCTCGTCCAGCAAGACCTGGGGCTTGCGACGAGGAGACAGGGCTCGAGGGGTGCGCGGTGTCCTAGGTGCCCGCGCAGAACGGCAGCGCGACAAAGGACGATCGTCGTTCCATTCTTCTGTCACGTAGTAGTGCTCCTGTGTGGAAGTTGTAAAGTTATAGAATTTGTTTAAAATGATTTTTAATTAGTAGATTTTAGGTTAAGTCGCAGTTTTGATATTAACATGTGATTTTTAGAATTTTTCTTTACAACTTTATCAAGATTTTGGATAAAAGTTTTGTAACTTTCTTGTGGAACGAAGACTGAAATAAAAGTTCAGCTAATCGCTGCTAATCGTAACGCCTTCTATCTCGGTTGTCATTAGTAGGTAAAGTGCAGTAGTTAAAAATAATTAATTCATAAACAGTCAATTAATTAAATAAATAGTTATAACAGAACTATGATTCCTATTATCTAAGAATAATGTTCTCAAAGTTCGTACATATTCAAATCTACTACACAAAATAATGATTGACTGTAACTTAGAGCTCGACCAATGAGTACGAGTACCTACCATCGATAAGATTATTTTAATATGTGCGAACTCTTTAATAAAAATAAAATGTAACTTACCTCAAATCCAATTTCGCTTGTAGACTAGGTAAAGGCGTGTAAGTGCAGAGTGTCAGTAACCTATGTTTTACAATACTTAGGCTGGTGTATTACACTAAGAACACGATTCCAACTTAAACTTATAATAATATAATTTTAAGTTTGAATTAAGTTTTCAGTGCAGTTTCAGGCCTACATTTTTATGAGTGACAAAAGCTGTGAAAAAGATTGCCACCATAGTCTCTTTGTCCTAAATAAGTACTTTAAAAGCCAAGTTGGTCTGTTGCATCTTGCTACAAGGTTTTTTTTTACTCTGCTGTGTATAATTAATGTACATACAAAAACAGTATCGAAATAAAACAAAATACCGGTGTTAAGTTATATTAAATGATTACTCAATTACATATACGACAATTTGCGTTCACAAAAGTCTACAAAGTAAACGAATTCAAAGATTTTCGAATAACGTCCTACTTTAACCAGCAGGTAATATTAGTTGAATATTTCGTGGAATGAAGAAACATAATAAGAGAAAATAATTATACAGGTCACAATTACATATTATAGGACATTCATATTATTTTAATCACACCTAGTACGTATTTAGATTAAAATACACTTCTAAATCCAATATTCTCGTTCTAGAATCGATTAACGGACATTAATATGCGAACTTACACAATAATTTTATTCCAAAAATACATATCAAATGCAGCAAAACATATGAAAATTTCAACGTAGCCATTGCAAGTAAGTTTAGTGACTTAAAAGCATTAACAACGAACGCGCTATCTAAACCTAACATTCTTAGATATAATAATCGTAGTTACATATAAAACATTTATCACTAAGTATAACTTATTTTAAAACTGGTCAGTCAATCACGAGCCCGCACCGTTCTCTCCACAGCAACATTACAAAAGCTTACGATACAAAGTAATTTCCAATCTATTTGCGTAAAAAAGCTAAACTTCAAGGAATCTCCTGCTTCAAATGAAATAGCTATTACCTAGTTACTTCAAGCAATCGACTGGTTGACTATCTACTTTGCTGTGTCAAGAACTCTGTCCAATACCTTCAAACATTCCAAATTAATTAAACTGATAAACTAACTGAAAAGAAGAAAAAAGAACAAAGAAGCTTTTTAATAATGTAACAATAATAGACATACAATATAATAAGACGTAACTATTACCTCTATAAATACCAATAAATATTATAACAAAACACGCAAGTGCTATAGTGCTTCTACAATAAAAAGTTTCCAAAGAATTGATGAATGGCTATTGCAAACGTGAGAACACTGATGCTACATGTGAACTATTAATATCATTAGGTAAATCAGAAGGTACGAAAACTTCCTTATTATGGTAGGTTATGTATGAATGATATAACTTCTGTTAGATACAATGTATTGGCACTCATGATAGCTTTAGCTCCTAATAACCGAAACCAAGTAACGTGTCACAAATCATGGTTTCAATGTACGTAAACTAATTTTATTCTAGGTCCTAACACATTGAATTAACAATTGATTCGATCAAAATCATTTTTAAATTACAAACAAACATTTCACAAAATATTGTCTACAAGGATATGCTAAATCATTGACATTGATAAAAACGACATGGACATTCATTCCTAAACAAGCTTCCTATAGATCACTCAAACTGGGTACATACATCAAATGTATCGATAACCGAGATATAAAAAATAAAATACAAAAGTTGGACTCTTGATTATAAAAGTTAGTACGAGTAGTAACCCTGGAATAAAATCCAAAAATCTTCGAGCGCATCTTCTTAACACGGCTGCTGGTTCAGATTCTCATCGGACTTCGGTGGCTGCGGTGGTGGTAGTGGACTCTACGGTAAAACAAAAACATACTGTAATAACACATCAAAATGTATAAATTCCTGAACAACAAAGTCAAGTAAATTAGCAATCAAAACCGAAAAACAAAACCAAAATGAAATTGTTAGTGAAGTCAACACAAAATCAAATGACCAAAAACTTCCACCTGCTCTAATTTACCTACTCAATAAAAAGTGTACAAATATTGTGGCTGAAACAAAAAAAAATGGTGATTAGGAATGTGATAAGAGCGGCGCGTAAGTGATGAAGACCTTCACCAAAACAAAAGAATGCGAAAACGGAAAAGAACCACAACGAAAAAAGGCCCAACACACAAGAGTGGAGGAAGGGGCCTCACCTCCTGCCGGGAGTGCGCTCGCGCATCGGGCACGGGCGACTGGCCGATCTGCTTGATGTACTCTTTGTCGTCAAATATTTTGATGTCTCCGCCGCCTGGTTTGTGCTTTACATTGTCCAAGGAGCCCACTTTACTTTGAGCTTTGAATTCCAATTTTTGGTTTTCAATCTGTCCGGGAGAGTCAATGTGCATATAATATACGTACTGCTGGCAATAAAAATATCTATAGTAATTTGGCTCTATTGATGTGTGATTTTAACAAATCAAGAGAAAAACTTGATTTCATTTAGATATGGAATGAAATAAAATATGTAATTTTACATATCATCAGAACCAAATTATCTACGTCATTAGCATACACTGAGGCATATAATCCTAATGGTATAAATAAATATAATAAAAGTAAATATTATATTCAATTTCATATTACTATAATGTATGTATAAAATATTATGTAAAATGTGTAGTGC